CTTACGACAAATTGCTAAAGTGCCCTATGAGTTGTCTTTATGACTGTATGATGACCCACGTTTGTCCCTCAAACATCCAACGACATGGCTTCTTACTAACCAATGGTAGGATAGCACTATCTAAAGGAAGAGGAAAAGAACAAAAGATTTTTGAGTAGGTAGATAGTTCTTAATCGTTTGCTCGCTAACATTTTAAAACATTTTTCACACAATACACTTCTCTTATGAAATATTTTCAAAACAAATACTTTGTATGCATTCTCAACGATACGGGAATCATTACAAAGTTTGTCGCACTTAGGCATTTTTCAAAATATTTTCAAAACACACAAACATAAAGTATTTTCAAAAAGTGAGCTAGCGATTAAGAGCCCGTATATAACTACGGATGAAAATGATGCTAACACCTTCCCTTTTCATAACCTACCCCCCTTACTCAGAAAAATTCTCAAAGGTCTTTCCTATTCTTTTCACCCTTTCCTTTATTGGATAAAATAAAAGCCGGTGGCGAATCTTGTTATCCGCAACATTTGCGATAAAACACAAAACCAAAAGTCAGTTCTCCCACCGTATTACAGGTAGATTATGAAAAGGGAAAGTGTTAGCATCCTTTTCATCTGTAGTTATCTACGGACTCTTAATCGCTTAGTTCACTTTGAAAAATTGTTTTTTGTGTATGTTTGAAAATATTTTGAAAATGCCAATGTAAGGTAAACTTTGTAATGATTCTTGTATCGGTCCTCAAGAATACATATAAAGTGTATTGAAAATATCTTTGAAAGTGTTTGTGTGAGATGCTTTTGTTTTGAAAAGTGTGAGCAAGCGATTAATAGTATTCTACCCACTCAAGGTCTTTCTTATATTTTTCCTTCTCCTTTAGATAGTGCTATTTGTACCATTAGTTAGTAGGAAGCCCTATCGTTGGATATGAAGGGACAAGCGAATGGTCATCGTACATTCATTGAAGGCAACTTGTAAGGATGCTTTAGCAATTTCGTAAGAGATTAGATCATTTTTCGAAAGGTAACATCGAATGGTCATCGAGGGACTATGATCTTTTATTCGAGGGTTTTTGCTAAAACATCTCTACGTTCGAGGGACATGACCGTTATTTTTCCAAAGACAACAGAGGGAGGTTACCCTAGAGGTGTAAGTGTGCAAGTGTGTTGATTCAGTTATTTTATCTTGTATTAGGGTTTTCTAGCGTTTGATTATTATCTTGTCATACAATCCTATTAGCTAACAGTTATATATACATACAAGGCATACAAAGTATAAGTGCAAGAAAATGAAACGCGAGAAAGTAAAGACCTACAACTATTACATGACTTCGGGAAAATTATAATATTTATAACTTTGCGGGAATTTAAACGCTAAGCTATTACAAAAAACCCATGCGACCTATAAAATCGTTTCTAATAAAATAAAGGGCAAAAGTAAACACAAAATATTTGCAAAATATTCCTTAAAATCTTAACATTTAAAAGATTAGAAATTAATTTTTTTAACGTATTTTTTTGTTTGATTTGAATAATAAAATAAATAGATTTTAAACATAAATTAAATACTTAATGAATTAAAAAAACCTATGTCTAATTATTAGAGTTTTACTTTTAGTCCTTGATAAGGTTTTTAATTTCGATAAAAAAAAAAATTTTAACTCTTCGTAATTTTCAAATTCCCTCATTTCTGTCACATTACAGTCAATATTCTTTGTAATCATTTATGTGGCAGTTCACGATTGTGTATTATGATTAAAGTTAAAATTTTAAAAAATAATTCCGACAAAATTTGAATCAAATACCTAAAGAGGTGCCTAACTACTAAGCTATGGATGAACGTTTCTCAGTTAAACACTTAAAACAAATATATGTAATACATGAAAAAATACTATTAAAATAGACATTCTTATTATTGATTTCTTATTAAAATATCCAAATCTTAATACTATTAAAATATAAAAAAGATTTATTACTGATGGTCAACATTTTTTCAACAGTAAAAAATTTATTCTACTAAACCTATTAAAATATAAATGTTTTTTTATTACTGATGCTGTCAACATTTTTTCAACAACAGTAAAACATTTTATTCTACTAAACCCTATTAAAATATAAATGTTTTTTTATTACTGATGCTGTCAACATTTTTTCAACAACAGTAAAACATTTTATTCTACTAAGCCCTATTAAAATATAAAGATTTTTTATTACTGATATGTTATAACCCTTGATTTTAATGATTCAAGTGTTCCTTTCAACCTGCAATATCTGCTAGCGAAAATTAAAACACAAAATAAAACCATATCTGAAAACCATTTTTTATCCAAATCTCAAAACTAAATTTTCAAATTGCTTTTCGCAAAAACTAAATTGAATCCCTTTGTTCAAATAATACAAAGGCACGCAGAAAACACAATCAAATCAATACGAAAAATATTTTACTGTTGTTGAATAAATGTTGACAGTATCAGTAACAAAAAAATCTTTATATTTTAGTAGTATTAAGATTTGGATGTTTTAATAAGAAATCAGTAATAAGAATGTATTACAAGAAACATTAAGCCAAAAAATTTAGATTAAATAGGGGACTAAAGTTGCAATTAAATATTTATTTTAAATTATATTTTTATTTTATTAACTTTTTTCAATTTACATTTTTTTAAATTATTTATAAATTAAATATTAAAATTTAGTTTGAGTTTAGAGTCCAAATTGGACTACACAGCAGTCCAATAACATAATGAATTTATAATTACTTTATAAAAGTGTTATATAAACATTTTTATTTCTTTTTTTTAATTTTTTATGTGTGACTTATATTTGGAGAAACACGACGAAACTGGTGCAAACTGGAACAACAAAACAAGAGTTGACACCATTGTATTGATCAGCTCGATACCAGCTGGACATGATTCTAATGTTCATCAAACATATCAAATTTTACTGTTGTTGTTGAACATATTCGCCGGTTCTGATGCCCCTGCATTCAAACGTATTATCACATGCATTCAAACCTATCAAATTTTGTTGTTGGTATCGAACTCTAACATGAGAGAAAAGATAGCATGTTACATTCTATTCTAGAAGTTTTGTTTATTAAATTGATTCCATTCTGCTCCATTTTCATTTTCATTTCCATTCTCATGGAGCATACTTATGGTGGCATAGATGATGATACCAAGCATGCTTTCATGATAAGATGTTATAATATCATGTGGAAAAATAGCATACGAAATCTCATGGAGTATGTATACGAAATTGTTTATGAATTTGTAATTGCCTATGGTGTCATGATATTATGTAATTGCATGCTTATAGTGGCATAGACACTACCACGTACCACTATAAAACACCACCACCACACTACAAAGTAACTGGCTATTAGGAGCATGCACTAGTTTACTATCACAGCAGAATTGTAATTTGTTTTCATTATCATAATAAATCGTATCTCTATAATAACTTGTAGGTGTATGCTTTTGAGAGCAAATACACGGTTAGAATAATTGTATAAGTATTGAAGTGTTTGTTCAGAAGTTAAATAAGATAATTCACAGTTAGAATAATTGTTAAGTATTAATAAAGTAGAATCAACTGACTTAAGTTTCAGACAACTAAAAAACTAATTCATATAATTTATTATTATGGAAATGTCTTTTAAAGAAAGTCACAGTAAAAGTCATATCAAATAATGCAGACTGTATATGATAAAGTCTTGTATTTCAATTAATCATAACAACAAAATGGTAAAGTCTTGTATTTCAGCCACATTAAGGTGATGTTACGGTGATGTTATGTGTGTGAGGTTATGAAGCTTCATGGCGGAGGGAGTAGGAATGAAAGTGTATAGGGTGATTTCTGATGGTTGTTGGTATGGTGAAACATGGTGGTGATAATGTTGAAAGGAAGATATGGAAATTCTGTGAGTCACCGAAGAAGAGGAAGAAGAGTGCATGGATTTCCCTTCATCTTTATTCTCATTGGTTGATTTATTATGGAGAGAAATTATTGGCTTATGGTTTCAACAAAATGGCAATATTCAATTGATTGAATTTTCAGAGAGAGAGAAATTTGATTATTGGTGCAGCTTTAGTATGTGAGTCTGAAGCCGATTATGTATACAATAAAAATGAAATGTTTATTCAAATGTCCCACATCAGTGTATATAAGCCAATAACACATTTAAAGTAATGAATTAAAAATAAACTAAGTAAATGAGCTGCTCCTCTTGTAACAAAACCTTACCCAAAGTCCAATTATAATATTTTGATACTTAAAAAAATAATTCATAAAAATATTAATTAATTAAAATTAAGAAAAGAAAACATAAAAAAAAATAACATGAAAAATTTTAATATTTAAAAAAAAATTAAAAAATAAAGAAAGTCTACTTGACATTTAAAAATTAAATAAAAAATAAAATAAAAATCCAGTTAGACAACCAAATCACTAAAATTGAAAACTTTTCTGCACTGGGGTGTATTTAAAGGAATTTGGACATTGCGAGGGGAGATTAAAAAAACAACTTTATCAGAGACTAAAAGCAAAACTCGCTAACATTACCGGAAAATATGATATATTTAACTCTTTTTTTTATCCTTTGATTTTAGCCGTTTTAAATTATCCAAAGAATGGACTGAAACCTTCAATCCACTCTATTCACCTTCGCTTTAAAATATTCAAATATAGCCTAAAGTTACTTTCCTATTCTTTCCTCCCCTCCCCTCAACCCTCCGTTCAAATTTAACATCAAAGTATAGGGTACCATTTTGCATAACATTAGTCTCACACGATTTAAAAACTTTGGAATAGAAAAACTTTGTAACAAAGTACAAGTGACCTCTATAAGTCGTAAAGAGAACAACAAAATGTTCACCACCAAGAATAATAATCATAATGTTTCACAGAGAAAACATGTTTATATTATAAGCCCCTAAACCCTTTAATTAAATTTAACTAAAAGATAGAAAGCATAATAAGATTAATGAGGGAGGGAACTCAAACACGATTGTAAGCCACAGACTTGCTGAAAAGGCGCCTGATGTATATGACCTGCAATGCACTAACAGCAGCCAACAGAAGATACTCTCCCACAGTGTAGAAGATTACGCGCTTATGTGTACTTTCGTTTGCTACAAACAAAACAAAGTAGAGTAAGTAAGAATGAAGGACGCGTACAGAGAGCCAAAACAATGTAAGTTGATGGACAAGAAAACTACTTACTGTGGCGATGTCTTGCATCACGGGCTCTCAAGTACTTTTGTTCAGCTGTAACAGAGTCCAATGCCTCTCTCAGCTCGGCAATTTTAACATTAATTGGGTCCAAATGCTCTGCAAACCAACAAAAAATCAAGAAGTAACTCGAGTAAACTGTAAATTCAATACTTCAACAAACAACTAAGGTAACATGATTGTGTGATAATCTACTAAAAGAATATGCTTTTACATAGAACATACCGTCTTTGGCAAGGTCATGCTCAGAGGGAATATGACCAACATGGATATAGAAAGAAACAGTCTCGGGTGTCGAGTATGGATTATGGAAACAAAATTTATACATTCCATGTACTGGGGCCTTAAATTGAAACTTGTCTCCAGAGGTTCCCTTGATATCTTGGACAACATTACCTCCAGGTGAAGTTACCTGCAGAACAACCACAAAAATTAGGATGTCTAAACAGCTAGAGTTAAAAAACAATTTGAAAATTCGGGCAAATCAACAACAACAAGCAAGCCTTATGCCTTATCCCACTAAGTGGAGTCGGTTACATGGATCAAATGCTAAACAACCACAGTTTCATCAAAAGAGTATTGAAAATACATTACGTGCTTAAAGTTTTATTTTCCCTCCCTTCCTTCCTTAAATTCATGCAAAACTGAGTTGAACTATAAATTTCAATGTAAAAATCACATTTAGACTCAAAGTTGCAAATCCTACCTTCACCTAGAATCAATTATGAAAAATACAATCAATTCTACTCGAGAGCAACAAAACAAGTCAAAATCAATTCTACACATCCATAATCAATTCTAACTGCTCCAACCGAGCAACCAAACATACACTTAGCTACAAATTATCCCACCTTAAGGCTTTTCAAGGGGCATGAAGAATTATTTCCATGTTCCGATTTATTTATATAGTTCTCGCAAACATGCTGATCTAATTTGGATTGATTGATAAGTCCTGTTAAGACTAACAAACATCAGTCAACATCCTAACAAACAACTTCTGATGTTCATCTCGGCTAAGGTTCAAGCAGGAGGTCCTGCCAGGGACTCACCAATGATCATTCATCATAGAAGTAGATTTGACAAAATAAACTTAATAATATAAACACAATTTGTTAGTCTCCATTCATAATGCAGCTTAAGAAAAATGCAACCAGGCCATGGAAATTCTTTTTGGTATGAGTATTTAGCTTATAGCCCTATAAAAACATCCCTGAACACAAAAACTTCAATTCTATATCATTCTATATGATACAAAGCTACACAGATAAATAATTGATCTTCCGTATATAACACAGCAAAACCCTAAAAAATCTAGAAACTAAAAAATTTAAATTTTTTTCACCCCACAAAAACCTAATAATTCAACTACTCATGAACTGAGCAAAGCAATATAATAAGACCAAAAAAACCTCAAAAATCCAAATTGCATAGGAAAAAAAAACCGTAAAACAAAATCGGAAAACCCAGAAGATGAAATTAACGACTTAAGATTCAACTCACCTTAAAATCGATGCCTGGATGATCAGAGCTCCAGAAAATATCATGGTCAACAACAACAAAATTCCCGGAAACAGTATCCCCTTCATAAAGCACATACTCATAGAGACATTCAACTTCATTCACTGTCACAGAAAGCGATTCAATCCGATCAACAAAGATGAACACCAAACACATCAAAACCATCCACATCTTAGCGCTTCTCTTACCCTGTGTTCGCTCCATCAAATTTCCCCCTTTTTTATTTATTCAATTTGGGTTCTTTTTGGGGATTTTTTTCTGGAATGATAAAATTGATGCGATTGTTGAGTTTTGCAGATCTTAAAGATTGGATTTTGAGAAGGTTTTGATCCTTTCTCGTTACTGCAAGTGCAACGCAACAAAACGGCAACACTCTAGTCGTCGTGGTCTTGAAGAGGTAGCTTTGCTATGACTGACGTCGTTTATAAGAGCTTACGTGTAAAACGCAGAGAGAATACCACGTGCACCAGCCAATCAGAAAACAGGATACTTATTGTCTTAAAAAAATTTGGATATTTACATTTAGTTTTTTTTAATTATACATTAAAATAAAAAATAATTTAACTATAACAAATTTCATCAAAAAAAAATATTTTTAAAATAAAAACATAATTATGTTAAAGAAAACACAAATATTCTTTAAGATTTTGTAACAAAAATATATATTCTTTAAGATTTGTAACTCTAATCTAAATTTATTTTTATTAAACAATTTGTATTAATAAAGAGATTGATATACTTTAAAGAGATACTAATAGTTGTGTATCTGTGCTATGCATGAAAAATAAATCATTTTACAAATAAATTATATAATAAACTATATAAATTTATAATAATAATAATTATTATTTATTTTTTAAAATTGTTTATTTATAGATATCAATATATTTATATTAATATATTTTTGTTGAAAATCTACCAAATATCTATGATGAATTTCTATCAATCTTGATGAACAAAATTGATATCACCACACAATGACAATGAATCATGAGAAAAGAAAAGAAAAAAGACAATTATTTTCTGCATAGTTTCTCTCTGTCCACAAACTGTGGAAAATTTTATTAATCACTTGCAACTGCAAATTCTGTGATTACAATGAGTTGACTTAATTATAAAATTAGGGGTTACTCTCTCTATTTATAGATTTAGGTTAGCTTGCTCTCTAAGCCAAAACCCAAAACTATAAAAGCCTAAAATACCTATTTTGGAACTAAATCAAACCTATCTATTTTAGATCAAAATCAAATTTATCTAAATCTAAAACCAATCAAATATGTGTGTAGCTTGCTTCGATCCACAAACTCTTCGACTGGGCAACCTCCCTTCGACACACACACTGTTTCAACACAATCGAATTACAATTTAACACACCACCTAATTTATTGTGTCTAAACTATCTTAGTCTTTTGAATACTTCGACTTGCACTCCCTTCGTCATGATGTCTGCAATCTGATTCTCAGTTTTGCAGTGTTCCAAATTCATCTTCTCATCTGCTACCTGCTCTCGAAGATAGTGGAACCTCATTTCAATGTGCTTGCTTCGATCATGTGCTATCGGGTTCTTCGCCAGATTGATAGCTGACATGCTATCGATCTTTATGATAATTGCTCCATGATCTTTCCCTGTTATCTCTTCGACCAAGTTCACCATCCAAGTTGCTTGACATGCACAAAGAGAAGTAGCTATGTATTCTGCTTCGCATGATGATAATGTCACTACTAGTTCCTTTCTTGAACTCCAAGCAATTGGTGGACCACCTAACATAAACACATATCCTGCTGTTGATTTTCGATCTTCAGTATCACTACACCAACTCGAATCATTGTATCCCACTAACTTGGATTTTTTTCCTTTATCAGCTGCAGGAAACAAAATGTCATAGTCGAGAGTTCCTTTGAGATACCTTAGTATCCTCTTCACCGCTGCTAGATGTGATACGTTTGGCTTCTGCATGAATATACTTATCATACCTACACTATATGCTAAGTCAGGCCTTGTATGACAAAGGTATCTAAATGACCCAATAAGTCTTCTGTATTGGGTTGGGTCAACATCATCTTCATCTGCATCTTTCGATAGTTGCAGTCTTGGTTCTGCAGGTGTCGAAGTTGAGTTGTATTCTTCCATCTTAAATCTCTTGAGAATTTCTCCTGCATATCTTCTTTGATGCATCATCAAACATCTATTGCTCTTGTAGAATTTGATGCCAAGGAAATATGAAATCTCACCCAGATCAGACATTTTGAATTCCTTGTTGAGATCACCTTTGAAGTCTTTGATCTCACTTTTGCAGCTACATGTTATCAACAAATCATTGACATAGAGACATAGTATAAGCAATTCACTATTGCTTCTTCTTAGATATACTCCATGTTCAGTTGTGCACTTCACAAATTCCTTCTCCCTTAGAAAACTATCAATTTTCTTATTCCAAGCTCTTGGAGTTTGTTTTAATCCATACAGGGCTTTATGCAGCCTGTACATGTTTCTCTCTTCGCCATGTTTCACAAACCCAACTGGTTGTTTAACATAAACTTCTTCATCTAAGCGTTCATTCAGGAATGCACACTTCACATCCATCTGACATATGTGCCATCTGTTTATTTCTGCTAGACCAACAACCAACCTGATTGTTTCGATCCTAGCAACATGTGTAAAAAATTCATCAAAGTCCATTCCTTCTTTTTGTAGAAATCCTTTCGCCACAAGCCTTGCTTTGTGTCGATTTACTTCCCCTTTGGAATTCATTTTCACTTTGTATATCCACTTGACATCAATTGCCTTCTTACCTTGAGGCAATTCAACAATTGACCAAGTATTGCTGTCTTCGATAGACTTCACTTCTTTATTCATTGCTTTCACCCACTTTGAATACTTTAATGCTTCAGCTGTATTGACAGGTTTGATATCTGCATAGAAAGCATAATGTACCAACTCACCTTCATTATCTATCACATCATTTGATGTAATCATACAATCTTACAATCTTGCAGGCATGTGTCTTGTTCTTTGAGGTCTGCTTGTACTTGGTTGATCTATAAGTGATGGTTCCTCTTGTTGAGCTTCTCTTTCGACTTGAGTTTCTGGTTCTTCAAGTAGGATTCCCACTGAATCTTTCTTGATATATTTAGTCCAATCCCATTCTTTAAGCTCATCTATGATCACGTCCCTGCTGATCACAATCTGCTTGTTCACTGGGTCGAACAACTTGTAACCTCTTGTCGAATGATATCCAACTAGAATCATTTGACTCGACTTGTCATCAAGTTTTCTTCTCAACAGATCTGGCACATGTCTATATGTAATAGATCAAAATACCTTCAGATAACTCAAGCTAGGCTTCACACTAGACCAACATTCTTCTGGAGTAATTCCTTCTAGCTTCTTCGTAGGACATTTGTTCCAAATGTATGTTGCAGTCGACACAGCTTCACCCTAAAACTCTTTAGGTAAATTCTTGTCTTTCAACATACTTATCACCATATTCATGATGGTTCAATTCTTCCTTTCTGCAGTTCCATTATGTTGTGGAGTATAGGGTGGCACCATCTCATTCATAACCCCTTCCTTTTCACATAACCTATCGAAGTCTTTCGACACATACTCTCCACCACCATCAGTTCTCAAAACTTTGAGTTTTCGACCACTTTGTCTTTCGACCATAGACTTAAACTTGGCAAATACCTCGATCACTTCACTTTTCTTCTTGATCAGGTAAGTCTATAACTTTCGACTAAAATCATCTATGAATGTAAAAAAGTATTTGTTACCATCCATCGAATCCACCTGGATTGGTACACATATATAAGAGTATATGACTTCAAGAATAACCTTATACCTACTTCCTGCATCCTTGCTGAAGCTATTCTTGTGCTGCTTCGCATGCACACATTCCTCACATACCTCGTTTGGAATGTCGATTTCTGGAAATCCTGAAACCATATTTCTTCTCTTCAAATCTCTGATGTCTTTGAAGTTGAGATGACCTTGTCGATAATGCCATATCCATTCATCACTTCTAGCTACAGTCGAAAGGCATTTGTGCTCCATCACATTTAGTTCGATCTTGAAGGTTCTATTCTAAGACATAGGAGCCTTCAATATTAATCTTTCATTTATGTCGACGACCCTCATCATCTTATCTTCGATCGACACTTTATAATTATTTTCGACCAACTTCACTATACTGAGTAAATTGCTCTTCATGCCTCGTATGTACAACACATTGGAAATTACCGACCTCTTGCCATCTTTCATCATAAACATAACATCACTAATACCTTCAGATGTTAGGGTATTGTCATTTATGAATTTTACCATATTTTTTATTGAGGGCTTTATATTGACAAACCAGTCTTTCCTTCCAGACATATGTGATTAGCATCCTGAATCCAAGTATCATTGATCCTTGAATCTATCTTTATCTCTTGTTGTGACCATCAACATCATCTCTTCTTCTTCATGTTTTGCAAAATTTGCATCACTTTCTTGATTCTTTCGCTTTTCTGGACAATCACTCGAATAATGACTATACTTCTGACAATTATAACATTGAATGTGACTCTTGTCAGGTTTTCGACCACCACCTCTTCCTCTATTTGCAACACCATCTCTTTGGTTGCCTTGGTATGGTCTTCTCTGATTCAACATGTTTCCTTCATTCTGGTTTCCTCTACCAATTGATTTGTTGTAGCCGCCTCTACCTCTGTCGAACAACTTTCCTTTGCCTTTGGTTTCTTTTGTTGAATGTGCCTGCAAAGTCACATCACTCTTAGACTTTCCTGCAGCTCTTTCAGTCCTTCTTTGTTCATGAGATTCAAGCGTCCCTTGAAGCTTTTCCTTTGTCAATTTCGACAAGTCTTTCCCCTCTTCTATAGCCACTAACACGTGGTCGAACTTAGGAGCCAAAGATCTCAAGATCTTCGAAACAACAACTCTTGTTGTTAATGTTTCTCCACGTACCTTGATTTAATTCACTAGTTTTGTAACCCTAGTGAAGAAATCAGATATGCTCTCACTATCTTCCATATGAAGCAATTCATACGTTCTCTTGTGAGTTTGTAACCTCACTTCTTTCACCTTTTCTGCACCACCAAAAGACTTCTCAAGAACCTCCCAAGCTTCTTTTGCAAATTCTGAATCACTCACGTTTTCAAAATTTTCTGGACTCAGACATTGATGAATTATAAAGAGTGATTTA